CTTCCTTAGAAGGTTGTTTTTGAATGCCAATAATCAAATGTTAGGTGGGAAGTTCGAATCCATAACAAGGAAGTACATTGTATATATATGAGGCTGTAGTTTTATATGAAGGGCATGTTCTCAAAAAATGTCAGATTTAAGATCTCTATTTTGGAGTGAATTATCATATTGGACTGGGGGCGGGAAGGAAGAAAGTTTAAGAAAAGTTTAATCAAAACTCTTTTTCACAAACTTCAGAAAATCCTGCTAAAAGCTTTCAGAGGTCAGGCAGATTGCTGAATAATTCTTCAGGGACACACTTTTCTCCTTACATAAAATAATGCTATGTAAGGTTAAGTGCTCACTAAGGAACCAGCAGTCTGGGCTTTCAATTTTCACATTGGACTATGGGAAGATATGCTCAGTCAGTGACAAGAATTGCTGTATACAGTTTATTCTGCTATTCTTTAACACTCTCCAGTGTCATTAGCTTGCCAGCCATGTAGTCTGTAAGTAATAGGTTGCAATAGCAGCTGAAATTGACAAGTGCTTAGCCTAGAGCATGGATTGAATGTAATTCATAGGGTTCCTGAGTTAATTTCCAATACCTATTTCATCAAGGCAGACTGATAGATGGCTGCCAGCATCTTCTGGCTTTATCTGTAAATCCCTATGTCTTTTATGGCCATCCCTCTGTGGGTTTTTTGTTTGTGGGTTGTGTTTTTTTTTTTTACATTCCTTGCCTTACTTTTGCTCCTCCCCATTTCCATAACTCCAAATGGAGCTTCCTCTATAGGCACATCACTCATTTAGATTAGAGGCCCTTGCAGCTAAATGCAAGACCTTCAGATGTTATTGAAGTGCATTTTTCCATGTGGCCCTGTTTAAAGTGATGTTTCTTTAGGGACTGCAGGATGAAATATGAAGTTATCTGTGAGAGTAAATCTGAGATGTTGGACAGATGGTGAAGTGTCAGTGCATCCACAGAAATGCATTTCATTTTTATATAGGGAATGCATTCAATCAATTTTGGCGCGAGAAAACAGTTGCTCTTATTGCATCACTAGCAATTTTGGGGATTTTTTGCAGGTCAAGAGCTAAGTCAATAAAACCATAATAGATTTTTCATCAATAATCTGAATACATAGAAAAGAGGCACAGCACAGGAAAAGGAAGTAGGCAAGAAAAAGCCATAATTTTTTTTGAAAAGAAAGAAAGGTTGCCATGGTGACATCATACAAATTTCAGCTTTAGTAAAACACAAATATTATTTGCTATGGATTGTGAAACTTTGTTTCTCACCTAAGATCTACTTCAGCAATAAGAATTTGCATGAAGTTTGTTAGTTAAACTGTGCAAAATAACACCCACTCACCCCCAATATAGTGACACAAAGCTTTGGAGCATGCTGTAAACTGTAGAAGTCTTTTATTTACTAATTAATTCACCTAACTTCCTGTATTGAAGAAACATGTTTTTTGTTTTTTACTAAATATCTGTGATGAATTAGAAGTGGCTGCAAATTTCAGGTGAGGCTGCCATGTAAAATGTTTACTTAGTCAAACCAGCTTCACTTCTGGTGTGTGGCCAGACAAAGTTTTATGATGTTTAATAAGACGAATGTATAGTCTTTGTTGCAAAATGTAGCTTTCCTTTTATATAATCCTGATCTAGCATTTAATTAAGCTTTAGAGAACTCTGCCTTTGCTGATTCCTTTATGCACATGTCACATGAGGGAAATGAACCTGTTTAAATGTTTTTGAAAGAAAAAAAGTTTTTTTTTTTTAAATCTTGTATGCTTTCCCATCAGACCGTATTGAGCCCGATCTCAGTTGGTGTAAATTGGCGTTATCACTACAGCAACATCGATTTATACTGGGTGCTGATCTGGCCCATGCACTAGCTTCAGTGGACTTCCACTGCCGTTGGTCATCTTGCCAGCAGCAACAGGAAACTAAATTGTTCAACAGAATAAAAAATATTGGTAGAAGTTGTGATTTATTATTTGTATTATTGTAACACCTAGGCACTGACCTACTAATAGAAAACTCAGAGGTTTCTCAAAGTAAAAGAGCGATTTTTGTTGAAGACATTTTGTAACATCCACTGATCTTCTGGGTTTTTAGCACAATCCATGTAAGCTAAACCTGTTAGTTTTGGGTAGCTTTGCTAAGAAAATAGCAAGAAGTGTCATTACTAGCAAAAAAGTGAATAATTACTAGCATTTGACCTATATTTATTTTACAAGAAGAGGGTATTTCTTATAGTTTGTTTTGGGTAATATGACTTCCATTAGAAGACACCATACTTCATAGGAATGGAGTACATGTAGTAGCCTGCTAAACGATTTAGAAATTTTATTCTGATTTGTAGAGAACTTTGATTACCTTTCATGATAGCTGCCCCGAATTCAAGGAATTTGGTCTGTTTCCATCAGATGAGCAGCTAGGAGAAACACAGCTCTTTTGGTTGCTTATCTGGGCTGAATTTTTCCAGGTATTTTGTACATAGCTCTAACTTGTATGTTTAAAACAAAAATAAATTACTAGTAGTTCAATGCCTCTCGAAAAGAAAGGAGATGAATTCTGCTAAGTGTGCATGGTTGGAACACCCAGAGTATCTGGCTACCAGAATTGTTCTTGGATACGTCTTCCCTCTTACTGGCTTTCATAACTTAGGAAAACTGAAATGTTTGTTTTTTAAGCCTAAGTAGCCATATACAAGTATTTCATAAAGGGCACTGAATCAATGGAGCCAAAATAATTTAGGCTGCAGATGCTCCATAAAATTGCCCCTGGCCATTCTGTGACTTGCCCCAGATATACAATTTCCATTCATAGTCCTACTGTGTGACATATGGTAAAATTTAAACACAAACAGTCTAGTTTAGAATATTTTTATGTAAATTTTGTTCAGTTAATACTGTGAGACCAGCATAGGGCATCCGTGACTATCTGAAGCACTGAGCAGATGTAATAAAGTTTGGTGTGCCATAAAAGTCAGCGGGTATCAATTCTGGCTTGGAACCTGACAAACAAACCTACAAACAGCAGGTGGTGGGTAGCTATTTCATGCCCTGGGAGGCAGGAAAAATGATGGAACTTAATATTTGAAGGATGGCTGTTCATATAGTTTCATTTCACTAGATGTAACCTGACATCAAATGGTAGGAAAAGTAGAATGTCAAAAAACCTCAGTTTTATAAAATGTTTTATATACGCTATTTACAAGGTCACCTTAAGTTTCAATCTACAGAGATTTTCTGCTTTGTCAAGATACCATTGCAACTCGATGTGGCTTCTAAATTATTTCAGCAAAACAATTTTTGCTGAGAGTGTTTATGCCAGAGATCATTGTTTTTAGTAAAGATATTTTGATAAAATTCAGGACATAATTTGTATTACCTTATGCTGTAGTTAATTGATAATCAATCTTTGTCAAGATAAGCAATTTGATCTAAATTAATAGAGTAACAAGTTCAGTTGGGAAGAGGTAAAACTCATTTTATTTTAACATGAGCTAAAGTGTACATATTGCTTTTTTTTTAGCATAGGGTCTACTCTTGTATTGGTGCTGTTAAACAGTTTCCTGGTCCACTCCAACTCCTCAACGAAAAATGACAATAGCCATACACAGCTTTTATATGAATATTCAACAAGTTACATTATACCAGTATAATTGCATCCACACGAGGAGGAGGGAAGTCATATTGTTTTAACTGTATTGGTGAAAAATCACACCCCAACCAGAAAAGTTATATCGGTATAAAATTGTGTGAAGATCAGGTCTAAGGATTTACAGACAAGCTTGATTTTAAGCATATCATTTATCCCATTTGAATTCAGTGGGATTACTAATGATTAGTTTAAAATTAAGCAGGTGAGGCAAGGCCAGAGGTACATTACAAACTTTTGCCAGCATAGCAATTTCTATCAGGGATATAATGAGGCACGATTTGTGACCAATATAGCTGTGATGACAAAAGCTCATAATGTAGATGCAGTTATACCAGCAAAACTGTGCTTTTGCTTGTATAGCTTGTTTTATTTGTGGTGTATGTTGAGCAAGAAGATGCAGGACAAGGAAATGCATCAGGTGAGATATTTCCAATAGAGATAGGAAAGGGTTATTGCCATTTTACAAGACACTGGTGAGACCTCATCTGGAATACTGTGTGCAGTTCTGGTCTCCCATGTTTAAGAAATGTGAATTCAAACGAACATGTACAGAGAAGGGCTATTAGGATGATCAGAATAATGGAAAACCTACCATACAAGAAGAGGCTCAAGTTTGGCTTGTTTAGCCTAACCTAACAAAGGCTGTGGGGAGATATGCTTGCTTTCTATAAATACATCAGAGGCATAAATACAAGGGAGGGGGAGAGGTGTGATTTAAATTAAGTACCAATATTGACACAAGAACAAATGGGTATAAGATGGCCATCCACTTGTTTCAGCTTGAAATTAGATTAAGGTTTCTAATCATCAGAACAGTGAATTTCTGGAACAACTTCCAAGGGGAGCACTGAGGGCAAAAAACCTAGCTTGTTTCAAGACTGAGCTTGATAAGTTTATGGAGGGGATGATATGAGGAATATCTTAGATGAATTAGAATTGGCATGTGGCCCATATGTGACTGCTATTAGCAAAAATTCCCAATGGCTAGAGATGGAGCACTAGATGAGGAGGGCTCTGAGTTACTACAGAGAATTTTTTCCCAGGTGTTTGGCTGGTGGGTCTTGCGACATGCCCAGCGTTCAACTGATTGCCACATTTGGAGTTAGGAAGGAAATTTCCCCCAGGTTATATTGGCAGAGACCATGGGTGTAGATATATGTTTGTAGAAGATTGTAATTTATAGATGATCTTTCATAAGGGACAGTATTATGAACATAGGCATTTGGAGATGTGCCCTGGGGCTTGGGAACACTGCATGGCTTGGGCAGCAGTTCACCAGAGATGCTCTCCAGTTTGTTTTATTCCTTTCTCATTCACTGTTTTGTTATTTAATGAACCCCAAGATTGATACAGGGTGTCAGAAGTGCTGAACGAGAAGGAAACTGCAGTAATTTTGAAGTTAACTCCTGTGTTTGCAACTGAAAGCAGAGACAAAGGGAGGCACTAGAGAAAAACATGGAGCACCAGGCCAGAAGCTTTTGCAAGTATTTGGTGAGTACAATAGTAGCTTGACTAGCACAAGAAAGGAAGGGCAGGAGACAAAAACAGGTGTGTTGCAACCTCCATCCAGACTACAATTGTCAGGCAAAGTTGCAGAGAACTGGAAACAACTTCAGACAGATATTTGAATTGTATTTAGCTGCCATTGGACAGAGAAGAAAAATGATAAAGTGAAATCAGCTATCTTTATGCATGTTGTTGGGGAAGAAGCATTGGATATTTATAACAACTTCAAGTTTGAAGAAGGTGAAAGCATGAACTTAAGTAAAATACTAACTAAATTTGAGGAGCATTGCATGTCAAAAAGGAATGAAGTCTTTGAGAGAGACATTTTTTTATGTGCATGCAAAAAACTGATGACACCATAGAGCACCATGTCACAGAATTAAGGAAACTCATTAAAACTTGTGACTTTGGTGAGCTGACAGAGTCTCTGGTCAGAGATAAAGTCATTTGTGGCATCAGAGACAATGTGTTAAGATAGAGACTATTCTGTGAAGGAGACTTAACTTTAGAAAAAGCTCTCCAAATATGCAGGGCAGCAGAAACTGTGAAAGCACAAGCCAAAGAGCTGAATCCACCAGAAGTACAAAAGAAAATAGCCAGAATAGGTCAAATCAAAGAGTGGAATCACTTGCTATGAAAACCACTGCTGGGGGAAGACTAGGTACAGACGGTCATGTGGAAGGCATTATTCTCTGTGTCCAGAAGTTTTCACACTGCACAGTATCAATAGTAAGTCAGTGATAGCCAGCATGAAGAGAATCTTCTCCAGACATGGAATTCCAGGTGAAGTCTTTAGCGATAATGGGCCATAATTTTCCAGTGCAGATTTTAGGCAATTTGCCATAGATTGGGATTTTAATCACAAAACATCAAGTCCAAATTACCTCCAATCAAATGGACTTGTGGAAAGGTCTATACAGACAGTAAAGAACCTTATGAAGAAGACTTTTGACAGTGGGGGTGATTTGTATAAAGCATTACTGGTTTACCGAAGTTCACCCCTGGAGAATGGCTTTTCCCCAGCTCATCTGTTAATGGGAAGACGGCTCAGGTCTAATTTACCAATTACTGATAACTTTTTGCAATCTCATGACAATGAAACCATATGGAAGATGAAGGAAAATCTGAAGTGGAAGCAGAAATATTATTTTGACAAAAGGGCCCGTGATCTCCCATCTCTTAACCCAGGTGGTAGAGTGTGCCTGAGGAATCACATCTCTAATACTTGGGGCCAAAGGGTGCCATTAAAGAACAGCTGCATCCAGTGTTTTATGTAATCCAGATAGACCAATGGGACACATTTTGATGTAATCAAAGGGATTTACAAGTAATCCCAGAAAATTCCAATACATTGATAGTAGATGTGGACTCTGACGTTTCCCATCTGACTGATCCTTTATCAATGCACAAAGGAGAAACTGTCAAGGAACAAGAGAACAACTCTGACTCTAATGAAAGGCTGATACTGAGAAGATCAGAGCAGGAGATTAAACGTTCTGAAAGACTCATAGAGACTTGCTAACCTTCCTGGAGAACAAGTATTTGAGGAAAGAGAATGGTAAAGACTCACTCAAGAGTGATGTACTGGTAACCTCCCTTTTCTAAGTAGTTGACACAATGGGTTTATGGAAATGTACTACATGGGTTGAGAATTTAATGCATGTGTTATTAGATAGTTATCTGCAATATATGAGTTATTTCATTTTTTCTTTCAGAGGGAAGATGTAGACATATGTTTGTGGAAGATTATCATTTAGAGATGCTCCCTCATAAGGGACATTATTATGAACATAGGAATTTGGAGATGTGCCCTAGAGGCGGGGGGCATTGGGAAAGCCTCATAGCTGCATGCAGCAGTTCACTACAGAAGCTCTCCAGTTTGTTTGATTAAATTTGTATTCCTTTCTCATTCACTGGTTTGTTAATGTACCCCAAGATCATTACACTGGGGTGGGTTTTTTTGCCTTCCTGTCCAGCATGGGGCACGGGTCACTTGCTGGTTTACACTAGAATAAATAAGGGATTCTCTGTAACTTGTAGTCTTTGAATCATGACTGCAGGACTTCAGGAACTCAGCCAGAGGTCAGGGGTCTATTACAGGTGTTGGTGGATGAGATTCTGTGGCCTGTGATTTATATAGGCTATGTTTTATATGTTTCCCCCTGTGATGTGCAGGAGGTCAGATTAGATGCTCATGATTGTCCCTTCTGACTTTAAAGTCTATGAGTCTATAAAATGGTGTCTGGTCTGATTAGGTTAACTAGAAATGTGAGACTTGAAAAGTAACTCATTACAGTCCTACTGTTGAGTATTACATAGGGTTGCCAACTTTTTGATTGCAGAAAACTGAACACCCTTGCTCTGCCCCGAGGCCCTGCCTCTGTCCCTGCAATTCTTCTTGGCCCTTCCCTCCACTCACTCCATTCTCTCTCCATCACTCACTCTTCCCCACCCTCACTCACTCGCGCATTTTCACCGGGATGGGGCAGAGGGGTTAGGTGAGTGTGGGGGGGAGGGCTGTGGCTGGGGGTTGCGGGCTCTGGTGTGGGGCTGGGGATGAGGGGGTTGGGGGTTGGGGTACAGGAAGGGGTTCTGGGCTGTGGCAAAGGGGTTCGAAGTGTGGGAGGAGATGCAGTCTTTGGGGGAAAGTTCAAATGTGGGAGGGGGCTGAGGGCTGGGGTAGGGGGTTGAGGTGTGGGAGGAGTTTGGGGTGTGGGCTCCAGGAGGGGGCTCAGGGCTAGGGCAAGTGGTTGGGGTGCGGCAGGGGGCGCGGGGTGCAGGCTCCGGGAGGGGGCTCAGGTCTGGGGCAGGATGTACAGGGTTCAGTTTGGGCTCCAGGTGGCGCTTACCTCAGGCAGCTCCCGGAAGAGGCCGGCATGTCCCTACAGCCCCTAGGTGGAGGCAGGGCAAGGTTCCCAGCCAATGGGAGCTGTGGAGCTGGTGCTTGGGGTGGGGGCAATGCACAGAGCCTCCCTGGTCGCCCATGCGCCTAGGGGCTTCACGGGGCTGGTGCTACTATTAAGGCGAACTAGGCGGTTGCATAGGGTGCCAAGATTTGGAGGCGCCAAAAAGCGGTGTCCCCATTTTTTTTTTACATCGTTCCTCCCCGAGCACGCGGTCGCCGCTCCACCTCTCCCACCTCCCAGGCTTGTGACGCCAATCAGTTGTTTGGTGCCGCAAGCCTGGGAGGAGAATTAGAGCAGGGGCGGCGTGCTCGGGGAGGAGGCGGAGCAGAGGTGAGCTAGGGTGGGGAGGTGCCGCACGGCTCCCTGGGCCGGAGGGGGTAACTGCCGTGGGGGTGCCTCAGGGCGGGGGGTGGTAGAGCTGCCAAAGGGCTCCCCACCCGAGCTCACCTCTTGCTACGCCCCCTCCCCGAGCACGCTGTCGCTGCTCCACTTCTCCTGCCTCCTAGGCTTGTGCCGCCAATCAGCTGTTTGGCGCTACAAGCCTGGGAGGGGAGAAGAAATTAGAGTGGGGGCGGCGTGCTCGGGGAGGAGGCGCAGCAGAGGTGAGCTCTGGTTGGGCACTCCTCTGTATTGCTTATGACAGCCGCCCCGCGGTCTCCGCTGCGC